GCGCATTCAGCAACAGCGCCGGCGCGTCGCGGGCCGGCGGACAAGAAGGGCCCGTCTTGGCGGCCCCAACCCTTTTGCCCCTAGCGGCGCCTGGGTTGCGCGTGCCGCCGCTGGCAGCAGCCAGCCGGTCCAACAGGCCAAACAATTCGATGCAGAAATTTATCTTCGCGGCGGCGTACTTCGTCCCCCGACCCTGCGTCGGCTCAGTGCTGTTCCTGCGGCCACCTTCCGGGGGACAAGAGGCGCAGCACCGCAGCCGCCAGGGCCCCGCGTCTTGGGCAGAATGCGGCGGCCGCGCAAGAGGGCCACACACACACCGCCGGACCCGCTCGCGCAAAGGCACCGAGGCGCCTCCTCCGCCGCGGCGCAGGGGGTGGGGGCGCTGCACTTCCTCCCGTCCGAGGGACCCCCGCAACGGCCCGGCGAGCGCAATACGAAATCGAGGGGCGCCGGCACGCATGCGCGCACACAAAACTAAGTGCGGAGGGCAACGACCCACATGCGCCGCGCCTTCTTTTTTTCCCCCTTTCCTCTCACCCCGCCGGGAAATGCGCCGAGGCTGAAAAAAAAGGAGTAAACCAAAACACACGCCTCCGGTTTACTTCACGCGGCGTGCTACGGCGCTGCGGCCGTCCCCGGATGCAGGAGGAGAAGGGAGAAAACACCGCAAAAGTAACAAGTGGGTCCGGGGCCGCCACACACACGCACACCCAACCCGGGGGCCTGGCGCGGAACACCACGCACAAGACGGAAGAAGCAGAAGGGCGTGCGTGAAGACACCAAAAAAAAAAGGAATCATCCACCCAACACCAAGCAGACGGGAACGCGTCATGTGTACATCGACGCCGGGCGAAACGTGGGCCTGTAGCTCACAAATGCGGGCTGGCCTCTCGCGTGCTTCCTGCTCCCAGCGACCAGGCCCCGCGTGGCGGGCACCAAAGTCGCATCCGGGTGGCACTGAAAAAAAAAAAAAAAAACGAAAAAAAGACCGTCAAATCCCTTTAACCACCAACCGCGTCTTCTTTGAAACAACCAAAAACAAAAATAAACTAAAGAAGTTGCTAGCTATTACGACAAGAAACCTCTGCCACTTTTTCTTTCATACCCTCTTCAGACGCTACTCAACAGCCACAAAAGAAAAAAAAGGGGTAAAAATGTAAAGCAACCCCCCGCTGGATCTCGTGCGAAGCTCACCGGCACTTACTGCGACCGCAGGCGCACACACACACAGAGAGAGCCGTCACAGACGCTACCGCGAGCGCAGTTTCGCGCGCGGAGAGATTCGCACCTAGTCAGCAGCAGTAAAATCCCAAACGTTTTTTTTCCCCTATAACTAGTGGGCTAGTGTTAGCCACACTGCTGCTGTTTCCGCCCCTTCCACTTTCGTTCGGCGCGTCCGGCACAGACGGCTCAAACGACGCCAAGGCCCTTCATCGCCTCCGCGACCTTGACGAAGCCGGCGATGTTGGCGCCATTCACGTAATTCGTCTTGCCACCCTCCGTGCCGTACTTCACGCACGCGCTGTGGATGGAGTTCATGATTTCGTGGAGTTTTTTGTCCACCTCCTCCGCCGTCCAGCCCAGGCGCATGGCGTCCTGCGTCATCTCCAAGCCAGAGACGGCGACCCCGCCGGCGTTGGAGGCCTTCCCGGGGGCGAACAGGACACCGGCGTTGATGAGCTCCATCGTCGCCTCCATCGTTGTCGGCATGTTTGCGCCCTCCACCACGGCGAGGACGCCGTTCCGGATCAGGTTCTTTGCGTCCTCAAGCTCCAGCTCGTTCTGCGTCGCGCACGGCAGCGCAATATCCGCCTTCAGGTGCCACGGCCGCTTCCCCGCGTGGTACTCTGCGCCCACCTGTTTCGCGTACTCCTCCACGGTGCCGTGCCTCGCGCCCTTGATGTCC